TATGTCGGGCGCATGTCCAGTAAGTAAACTTGAGTAAGTTTCCACAACGTAGGTCCTATTTGTTTTTCATTTCATTTTTCAGAAGATTTGTTGTTTAAAAGGTAATAAAAATTCTCATCGTTCAATTTTACCGAAAGAACCCGGGTATGTTATACTACAACCTGGAATTTCAATACGAAACAAATTTGTAGGTAATTTAATGCTCTTCCAAAAGAAACCGGATTCGAAATAATCGGTTCGAAATCACCAAAGTTATAAGCGAAAATGTGGCGCCGTGTCAGGTCCCCAAAATTTTCCAAGAGAAATAGTATATTACATACCGAGGTGGAAAGTGTTTCATTACATTAGTAATGAAACTTTTCACCGAGGTATGTATACTATTTTATTTACAATCATTCGAATTTTGAAATTTATTAAATTAAAACTAAAAAATACAATAATTGACAATTTCATTTACTTTCGGCCCACGGGTCGAAAGTTTAAAACTTTCGACCCGTGGGCCGAAAGTAAATGAAATTGTCAATTATTGTATTTTTTAGTTTTAATTTAATAAATTTCAAAATTCGAATGATTGTAAATAAAATAGTATACATACCTCGGTGAAAAGTTTCATTACTAATGTAATGAAACACTTTCCACCTCGGTATGTAATATACTATTTCTCTTGGAAAATTTTGGGGACCTGACACGGCGCCACATTTTCGCTTATAACTTTGGTGATTTCGAACCGATTATTTCGAATCCGGTTTCTTTTGGAAGAGCATTAAATTACCTACAAATTTGTTTCGTATTGAAATTCCAGGTTGTAGTATAACATACCCGGGTTCTTTCGGTAAAATTGAACGATGAGAATTTTTATTACCTTTTAAACAACAAATCTTCTGAAAAATGAAATGAAAAACAAATAGGACCTACGTTGTGGAAACTTACTCAATTTTACTTACTGGACATGCGCCCGACATAGCAAATATTAGGGAAATTTAAGAGAAATTGTGATATGTAAAAGAAACGAAAAATTTGTGAAACGTCTACTTTGTTATTAAAATAAATCGTACCGTTCTCGACCTGGAATTCTCGAGGGGAAAGAGAACGTCAGAGAAACCCTCGATCTAACATTCCTCAAAAATCGAAACATACTGTGTCATTTTAATAATAATTGTAAGTCAATAATTCAATAATTTAAGTCAATAATTCAATAATTTAAGTCAATAAAAGTTTAAATTAGGTACCGTCTTTGGTCTGAGTGCTAAAATTTTAATTACACACACAACATTCATTCAACACTGCCTATATTCAATACTGAAGAGTTTTTTTTGTTAGTTAGCCAGTTTTCCAGCGGATACTGAGGTCCCATTCGGGAAGCTACTCAGCTATAGTTGTTTTTGAGCCAATATCTCTAGATTGATTATTTCAATTTGTTAAGATATTCTGTCGTCAGGGTAGGAAAATGTTAGTAAATTCAACAAGGCCCTAATTCACGCTCTAAATCCACAAAATCAAAATCTCAGCACAAAAAGACAGCATATAATTTCTTAGGTATTTAATTTACTTCTTTATCGGTGTTGTTTACAGCACGTCCCAAGGTGGAAAAAAACTTCGGGAACTATGTATATAATAATTGGGTGCTTTTTAGGTGCTATAATTAGGGCCTCTAATTAAAAATTAGGTGCTCCTTTAGTTTTTGAGAAAATCAAAAAAACTAAGGGACTGTTAGGTTTATAAAAGCTTAGCAGTCCCCTATAGTAAAAAATATTTTTTCAAATTTTTTTTTTTGTACCAGAATTAGGTTCTTTTTAGGTGCTCCTAAATAGTCCAAGAAAAAATAGAATTGATTAATTATTAACTGAGTTACAGATTTTTTTTTAATTATTAGGGGACTGCTGGCTTTACGTTTACTTGTTTGTGTGTCAGAATCAGTGGCGTATTTTAAAATTTGGCGCCCTGGGCCTATAAGGTCTGCCGCCCTATGATTTAACCAACAAAAATTGAATAATGAAAAAAGGCTATACGAAAGAAGAAACGCCATTTATTAAATATTTACATTTTTTTTGCGATACACATATCGGACAATTTCGTCAATGACGTCATCATAATTAACAAATTTTCTCAAGTCGGCTACTAGATATATTGAGGATGGCTAAACTGTTCAAACGGTCTTCGTTTATACAGGAACGAAGATAATTTACTTCTAAGTATGGAGAAGACATATTTTGTAATGTAGTGACGAATGCTCGTTTTCTACATTCTTCTTGTAGATCGTCCGCAAGATCAACCGGGTATCAAGCTATCAAGTATAGTTTTTGGAGTTTTACGTCGCCTTAACTCTGCCAACAATTAGTCGCATGTTAGAAAAAAAGTAATAATTCTGGAATAGTCTCGTCCTTCGAACAACACTTCTTCCTCGGCGGGCGGAATCGCGACGGATGGTTGATATCTGGGTCCTTATTCTTGAAACAGGCGTTCCCCGAAGAATGAATGTTCCGTCTTTCTCAATAATATGCGAATGATAATATAAGTAACCGAGACAGAGCAGTCATTCTCCTGGGAACGCTGCTCCCCTGTTTCAAGAATAAGGACCCAGATATCAACCATCCGTCGAGGAGAATGACTGCTCTGTCTCTGTTACTTATATTATCATTCGCATATTATTGAGAAAGACGGAACACTCGTTCTTTGGGAAACGCTGCTCCCCTGTTTTAAGAATAAGGACCCTGATATAGACGAATAAGCATTAAGCTCACCGCCAACACGATCGGGTGATTGTACGATGACCGAATCACTCCATTTCTTGTTAAATTATCAATCAAATAATGAGTTGAAAAAGTAGTCCATGACTCAAAGTGGAGTTGAAATTGATTTACCAAAGAAAACACAAAGTCTTCCTCCACAAATTTTTTTATCGAAATTAATGAGCCTCACCTCACATGTTTCGAAACTAGGAAGCTTCATCATCAGAGGCAAGTTTGCTCAGGTCAGATATTACAAGGTTTTCATAATTAATTTTGAGCCGCTGAACTCAGCATTTGGTAGAGGAAAAGAAAAATAAAATAAAAATAAATAAATAAGATCTACATTTAGACATAGGACATTTAAACGAGTAGTTTTGTTGGTAACTTGATAGGCATTCCTAAGTGGCTGGGGACGGCTTGCGCCGCCCCTCGCCCTCCTGCCGCCCCGGGCCATGGCCCTCATGGCCCTATGGTAAATACGCCACTGGTCAGAATGGCAAAAAAACTTCGGGATCTATATAATAATTAGGTGCTTTTTAGGTGCTATTAGGGCCTCTAATTAAAAATTAGGTGCTCCTCTAGTTTTTGAGGAAATCAAAAAAAACTAAGTGATTGCTAGGTTTATGAAGGCTATAGTAGTCCCCTATAGTAAAAAATATTTTTCTAAAATTTTCTTTTGTATCAGAATTAGGTGGGCAAAAAAACTTCGGGATCTATATAATAATTAGGTGATTTTTAGGTGCTAATTAGGGCCTCTAATTGAAAATTAGGTGCTCCTTTAGTTTTTGAGAAAATCAAGAAAAACCTCGAGAAAAAGTAAGGGACTGCTAGGTTTATGAATGCTAGCAGTCCCCTAATAAACCCACAAAATTTCAAATGAAAAGGTGGGTCGAGTGATGCGTCATTTGATAGCTATTTTCATTAAGATTATATCCCCGAAGTTTCAAGTTGCTACTATTTACCCTGTCTAAATGGCGGCTAGTCAAAGTTAGGAAAAATCAATGGAAAAATGCTGTGTGGTTTTTACCTGTTATCTACGCATAGGTGTGACAGATAAAAACTATACAGCTTAGATTATCGAAAAAAAGCATTTATCCTAACTTTGAAATGCCGCCATTTCGGCAGGGTAAATAGTAGCAACTTAAAACTTCGGGGATATAATCTCAATGAAAATAGCTACCAAATCACATATCACTCGACCCCTCTTTCCATTTGAAATTTTGGGGGTACCTGTCACCCCCACTTAGGGGTTCATAGGTAGGGGGTGAAAATACCAATAAAATGTGTCCCCCAAAAAACAAAAATTGACGTGTCTGAGCGATTTTTGAATAAACACCTAACACCTGAGAAAACCTGAGTGGAAAGTTTTTCGTGCCCCACCCGGTATATTGATCCGATTAGTCTCCCTCTGTCTCTGTCTAACTCCTATTCCCTTTCTTCCATCAGACATTTCTGTCTCTGTTTTATCTTGGTGTGCGTTCGAAATCACCCTGGCACATTAGGGTTGCGTTCGAGTACCTGGTTATTGGTGTGAAAATTATTAAATTATTTCAATGAGGGTCCGACAAACTTTGGTGTGCAAATCCTCTAGGTTTTCGAACGGTGACCGAGTGGTGTGTGGTTTGTTAATGTGCTTATTCAGTTACTAAAAATTAAAAATACATCTCTGGGGGGGCTCTCGGGCCCCCTGAGCCCCCCCCCGTAAATACGCCAAAGCTGACAAGGATAAAATTATGCTTGATATTCAACTTGACGTAGTTTGACAAGTGATCGATTTTCAGTTGTTTGTGTTTTTGATTGACAAATACATTGCATGTCACGCGGTTTTCCTCCTTCCTTTTTTATCCTGTTCAAATAATAAGAATGGATTGCTATACGTAGTCTAACATAATTTGGTATGCTTTGCCTCGTCTTGCGCAATAAGCGTTCTGCGTCTTTTTCTATCTAATAAAGTTTTCGTATCATTACCTCTTTGTCTGGTAAAATAGATAGGTCTATTCATTACGACACGTGACACGATCCTAATGTTAATTTTAATTAGTCCTGGCAAATAAGTTGCGCAAATGATTGTCTACCAATTTTTCCCAACTTTAAATTTTGTATGCCAAGTTATCCCAACTTTCGATATATTATAGGAACAAAGGAAAACCCTCCATGGCTCCGTCCCTGCCTTGCAGTTCTGTTCTTTGTTAAAAATCTTCAAAATTTTTCCACAAAATCGATTCTACCACAATCTAGACACCTTATGCCGACAAAAGAAAACGTAAATAATATGAGCAACAATCAAAACATGATTTATTTTTACTAAAATTGAGACAATGAATCAAAATTTCACTCGCTACTTCTTCTTCTTGTTCGGTTCTTTGTTCTGCAACAACTCGTCCAGCTCTCGCAATATATTATCTGTCTTCAATTTTTCTGAAAAAAAAAAAAGAAATTCGATACAATAATCAAATCAAATATGTGATATTAATATTAGCCTTGAGATCCTTACCGAGGTCCTCATAGGTCTTCACCGACCTATCAACCTTAGTAAAAATCTCATTGAAAAAATTATAAGTCACAGGATATTTGCGCTCTATGGAGATTCTCCAAGCCCTCTCCAAAATATTCTCCCTGCTCGGAAGCACGCCAGTATATCCGAAATAAGGCTTCCTAAATCGACTGTTGCACCATTCAGAGTCGGTGTAGTTGTAAACATCAAAATCGAAAGACATTTTCAAAGCTTCAGATACCAGAGCATCTTGTCTTTCTGGAAATATCGCTATAGTTGGCTCGTTTTGCTTGAGCTCGTCCTCTTCAAGCATCCGATTGATTTCCTCTAAATTTTTGCAGCTATTCGAATAGTTTCTCAATTGTTGGTTAGTCGTACTGAAGCTTCGCGTCTGATCGGGGCAAGCTTTACAATCCTTTTTGTGCAGCTTCAAGCCTTTAAGCAAGTCTTGAGGAAGACATTTTGGATCCACAACTACCAGCCCTAAAGCGCTTGCGGCCTTTTCAGCTTTATCTCTCAATAGTCTTCTCTTATATTCGCCTGGCTCGGGACAATTAGGCCTGGCCTTGAAAAAATTTACGATTCTTTGCCAAATTATTTCTAGTTGGGTTGGTTTTCTGGGACAAGACGCAGCTTTAACGATTATTTGCTTGCAAGGATTATACTTTGGAGCAGGCTTAATGCACTCGACATGCTTAAGTGTTGCTTCTTTCCCACAAGCAATTTTAATTGGAAGTTTTTCCGGGACACGAACGATTTTCGTAGGAGGTTTACAAGCAACTTTATTATTAGGTGTCCTAATCTCAGATTCTGGTTTACAATCAACTGGTTTAACCATGGGAATATCTGATATACAAATAATTTTTCTAGGTGGCCTCTCTTTTTTACTTTCATCAATAGGCTTAGATTCGATTTTACCAGAGGGTGGCGTCTTTTGGTCTTGTTCACAATCAATCAATTGGCCATTATGATTACCAACAACGTCTTCTTCTGGACAAGAAAAACGAGAATCCTGTTGTCTAAAGTAGGCTTGGCATCTTTCCTTGCAAACGCAATATTTTTCTTCTTCGGGCAAGTGACAAGGCATTCGCTTGATGCACTCTCGTATGCACATGGCTTCGAGTTTTTCTCTGTCCTCTGGATTGTACTCCTCATCAGTTGCCGGCACTGAAGCTTCACTCGATTTCAATGAAGGGTCACAACCCATTGTAGTGCCTTCGTTAACAATATCGTTCTTGCACTTGTAATACTCCCACGCTGTAGCCCTGTTAATTTTCTCCTGGCTAGGAAAATGGTTTATATTTTCGCCAGCGTTTATAAGAGGCAATTTCGGCTGTAGATTCTCCATTGTGTTTATGTCGTAGGCGCACTCATCACACTCTGGAACCACTATGGAGTGTTCTGTGCACTCAGAATACGCCGGATAAGGAGTGTTGGGCTTCGTACAAGTGGTAGGTCTGGGCAATCTTTTGCAATCTTTTCTTCTTGTCGATCTGGGAGGGCAATTTTTCAAAACAAATTTGGGGCAAGTTTTTTTGTATTCGCCTTTGTCGTGACGATTGCGATTGCCCCGATAGGGCTTATTGGGTTTGTAAGAAAGTTGCCTTCGATTGAACCCAAATGAACGCTTCCTGTTTATTTTGTATGTGGTGTAAAATCTTTGCACCCTCTTGGCTACACTATTATCATTTCGTTTAGTGAATAGTTTAATGCAAGATTTAGCTTTTTTGTCTAGTTTATATTTATTGGGCCCCAGTTTATTCTTGCCAACTTTTTCCTTATCATTGTTGCCTTTAAGGAAACATTTATCAATTCCTTTACTTAATACGTGGAAATTTCTTATTTGGTCAAACAAGCTTGTGGAAAATCTTCTGTTTGATTTCAAGGTAAGCGGTGGCCAACGTCCAAGTTTTTTAAGTACGTCAATCCTCTGACAATCATCTAAATTGAGGTCTGGAAGCATCTTCAATAGAGGCACCGGTTTGCCAAAGTTGTTGCACGTTTGCGTAAAGCCCTCATTTTCCATGCATAGTTTCTCTCTAATGCATTTTTGCTCTTTAAAAATGTCAATTCTGCCTTGTATAGGAGGAGGCGGTTGGAGGGTAAAAGGTTTCGGAAGCGGATTCATAAACCTCGGTTGCATCCTCAAGTATTTTTCCCGGTCCAGCGGACACTGGGTGAGTATCTCCTCCATTTCTTCGTCCAAACAATCGGAAAAGGCTGGAAACGGAGGCCTGATTCGATTTTGAAATCCGGTACGGTAATCGACATAACAACAACGTCGACTTTCAGGAGCATTACACTCGTCTTTCGTGTAACAAACTATCTTTGGAGCTGTGGGTTTGTCTGTGCATTCGATTGGGCACTCTTTGGCCGATTTGACCTTTTTCGGACACTCCGGTCGACAGATTTGAAATATTTTGGTTGTGAACGTACGATTTTGTGTCGATAATGATGTAAAGTGATCTAGAAATAATGGAAATTGTATTAGGGGCGCAATGTTGATACGAGGGGCGGATATCGCTTACCTTACCTTTCGATGGGGTCTCGACGATTGCGTATCTGGATCCTTTCAAGAACGGGGATTGCTGAACAGGATTTGATCCGTAGAAGCTCAATAGTCTACTAGAGCTTTGTTGTGCGGATGCTGGAAAATACAGGGTGTCAATTTGAAAACTTCCCACCCCTATTATCTCAGAGTAGAAAAATTTTCAAAAAAATCCCTGAAACACATCAACTATAATTTGAAGAGGGATGAGTTTTTATGCAAAATTCATCTTCCCTATTTCAACCCCCCAACCCCCAGAGTCACCCCCTAGAAAATTTTAAATCGGAAGGGGAATCAAGTGATACATCATTTTGGAAGGCTTTTAATTCCATACATTTTGGTACAAAATTTTAATCCCTAAGTTCAACTGTTTTGGAAATATTTTCACAACTGCCCGCTTCACGGGGGTGCCATGGGGGGCATAGAGAATTTGAATAAAAATCGGGACACTTTTTTTTAAAGGAATAATTTGATATAAAAATAATACTGAACAACAACATTTCTAATAAACTTTGAAAATAAACTGAGAAATGTTCCACAGAAAGAGAGAGACGTCTATGTCAGCACTGGACAAATTGGGGCTTGAATAACGAGAAAAGGGCTAAAATCTGAATGAGATGGAAAATATGAAACAAAAGCCAAACTAAATTATTTCCAAAATGTTCACCATTTATTAGTAAGAATCGAAATGGACAAAGATTCCATTCTTTTACACCAACAGAAAAAGAACCAAGATATCTCCAGACTCCAGACAGTATGATGTCTCACAAAATAGACTACAGCAACTTCGAATTTAATCCACGATCAAAAATTCCGGTTTAAAATTTAATCTCCGGTTAAATTCAAAAATGTCAAATGATAGTTTATGAAAATCTAAGAAAATAATGTAGGATCGGTTTTCCTCTAAAATTAATCATTTAGGTTTTATAGCCTGTCAAAGTAGCAAAAAAGTCAATTTTCATCTGTCAATATTTCCAAAACAGTTGAACTTAGGGATTAAAATTTAGTACCAAAATGTATGGAATTGAAAACCCTGCGAAATGATGTATCACTTGACCCCCCTTCCCATTTAAAATTTTCTAGAGGGTGGCTCTGGGGGCTGGGCGGTTGAAAGGGGGGAGGTGAATTTTGCATAAAAACTCATCCCCCCTCAAATTATAGTTGACGTGTTTCAGGGATTTTTCCGATTATTCCACTCATGTGTTACAAATCTCATAAGACAAGTGACGATTTTCAGAATTACAGCGAAAATTCTCTTTCCCATTTGTTTAACTAGAGAGAATTACAGCGATAATTCTCCCATGTTATTGTATACATGGTTGTCATGCTAATTTTTGATACAAACAAACGGTTCCTGATAGCAACCATTTATTTGTATTGATTGTTAAGATGTTCAAATCGTTTAATACATATTTATTTCCATATTTTTTGCATTCTCATACGTGAAATAATCCTCTAAATACCACTTGAGCTTTAAAATGAACCAGATAATTTTGAAGCTCTCGTGGTATTATCCCCGAAAATTTTTCTACTCCGAGATAATAGGGGTGGGAAAGAGTTTTCAAATTGACACCCTGTATATTGTTATAGGTCTCGAAATTAAATTATGCCACCTACCTTTTCCAGCTTTATAAATTGAACTGGTAGTACTGAACTTCTTCTTATCCGCTTGTGATTTCTTCTTGTCGCCATCGATCGGTTCGAATTCCTTTTTAAAGTTCGGATAGTACCCGTACTGAGGTGAGTAGCAGTTGAATTGAGGCGTTTTGAGAACGAAGGGCTTTGTGGTGGTTGGTAAATTGTCCGAGTAAGCCGAATAAGGTGATTCTTCCTTAGCACAACAAACCGGTACCCTTTCGGTTGTGCACCCTGGCCTGCGCTCGCAAGTTTTTTCCGGGCACACGTGGTAACGAGGGCACGGTTTCTGACACATCAACGCTTTGATTGAGGGTCTGATTTTCTTGCATTTCTCCTTGGCCTCAGTGTCTTTCTTCTTTTTAATATCGATTTCACTGTTACGTGAAAGTCTCTTGGTCGATATCGCTCTGGAGCTCACAGTAACGCTGGGTTTTTTTGTGGTCACCGGGGCACGTTTCGGCTCTTTTTTGACTATTTTCGGCGTGGTGCTCGCAATGGTCTCAAGGATTCGTGCGTAGTCGATTTTGTCGTGCTTTTCCGGTTTGAACAATAACGGATCGGCCCTTTTGCCAGGCTTTTCCAGATTATTTAGCACCTCGATGAGGTCCAATAAGGAATGGTGGTTGCTCTTTTTGTTTCTACGGCTTTTCAACGGTTCGTATTCATATTTTAATAAGTTGCGATTAGCGTTTTCTAGTTGAGCCGTAGAGCTGGAATTGTAGTGTCTTATATTCTCACTGCCAAATTCCCCCAACAGGGAATTAATGCTGCTGTTGCTGAATTTTCTTTTGTGATCGGCACTGGAAAGGAAAAATGGTTTTTGGTGTCACAGTGTGTTATTTATTGGATTTATTGTTTCTGAGATCCAAATTAGATATTAAGAAAATCTTAAAAGTCATAATTGTTTTCGAATCAACGTGGCATAAGGCCTGAATTCAAAGGATTATGAGTGGAAGTTGAAATTTCAAAGACGTCTTTTTTAGGTCTGCATCGCGTCTTAACATCTGAAGACTAAAAAAATGTGTCTAGAAGACGTCAATAAGATGCCGTAAATTCATATCTCAAAAACAACTAACTCGCAGTATTTGGTATTAACACCGGACCTAAAAGTGAATATAGTTTATACAGGGTGTACCATTTAAAACGAAACAGGCTTAGTAAGAACCTTATGATTTAGATTTTGGAAAACTTTGAAAGGTCATAACTTTTTTTCTATTATAGATAGAAAGCAGAAACTTTCACTGAATTTTATCCCAATCAGGGGAATACAATCCCTGATAATTTCAGCTCATTTGCACTTAAAGTTCCTGAAATAAAATCGTGTTAAGCAATTTGGGGTGATTTATCAATTTTTCAATTTTCCTGAGTGCCTTTTTTCATAAATTTCGGCTTCAAATCCGAGAATAATTTAGTGTATGGAGGTTGGGGGATGTTGAATGATCATTAGGACATAAAATCTCGACAATTTTTTTTTTTTAAATTTCATCGTTTTGGTAAGAAGTTACCTACCTTATAATTTGGATTTTGGAAAACTTTGAAAGGTCATAACTTTTTTTCTATTATAGATAGAAAGCTGAAATTTTTACTGAATTTTATCCCAATCAAGGGACTACAATCCCTGAAAATTTCAGCTCATTTGCACTTATAGTTCCTGAGATAAAATCGTGAAAAGCAATTTGGGATGGTTCATCAATAAATATTTCAATTTTTCTGAGTGCCTTTTTTCATAGATTTCGGCTTCAAATCTGAGAATAATTTAGTGTATGGAGTTTGGGGGATGTTGATTGACCATTAGCATACAAAATCTTGACAAAAAAAATTACAATTGAAATTTCATAGTAAGAAGGTACCTTACAATTTAGATTCTGGAAAACTTTGAAAGATCATAACTTTTTTCTATTATAGATAGAAAGCTGAAATATTTAAATGATAGGTATATACGTCCTTTGTAAGACATTGGGTTTTGTAACATACGACGTCTTTAAGATGTCTTTAAGACTTAATCAGACGTCTAAAAAACGTTTTGAATGTCGTTTGTAGACATCTCGGGGACGTTTTTAAGATGTCTACAAAAACTTCCCATTGAATTTAGAAGTTACCTACTGAAAACCATTTAAAATTCTACAGAACACATTAGAACTTTATTAATAAGCCTTTTGGAAAGTTCATAACCGTTAAAATTCAATTAAGAATTTCCAAAAATATTCTATAATTCTGCAGAACAATTTGGAAACTCCAAAACCATTTCATAATTTAAAAACCAGTTTCGATTTCCAAAAGCATTTTGGAACAATTCAGAAGTTTGATGTCCATTTTAGGACGCTCCAAAACACTAAAACACTCTAGAATCTGCAGAAACATTTCGAAAACCGCCAGAATCTTAGAATTCAGATTAAAGGTTACAAAACGCCTTTCAGAAGGCTTTTAAGAGCGGATTTAGATTGCTATGAAACTTTAATAGGCATCCAAAACAGTTCAAATCCCAATCAGAATTTTCAGGAACATTTTGGAACATTTTAGAACAATTAGGATTCAATTTAGAACTGAAAACCTGAATCAATTCAGAACACTTTGGAGCTTCAATTGGTCTCTAAAATATTTAAAAATCTGTCAGAACGATTTAGAAATTACTGAAAAACTTCTAAAATGCTCCAGACCAAAACGTTTTAAACCAAGTTAGCCAATAAGCCATTTACAACGTTCCAAAACACTTTCTAGCAGCATTTTGAATGGCTTCATAACAATTTAAAAACCTCAGAATTATTTCAGAGAGCCTAGCGCCTGGAATAGACAAAAACTGAGTCATAGAATGAGTAATAACACAGTTTGTAATAATAATATTTCTGAAGACGTCTTTGAACGTCATTTGTGGACATTTTAGGGACGTTTTCAAGATGTCTGTGTTGTCTGGGGAACTGGTTTGGATATGGATAAAGATGCTGCTCTTATAGGAGAATAATTGAATGCAAAAAATGAGGAAATAAAGCAATAAGAGAAAGAAAAAGAACAAAGTAATAGGGAAGACCAGAAACCCTAAGTGCACGTTCACATTAACACCGCTCGAGTGATGGGAGTTGTGCGATGCCGCTGTAGTAGGAAACGTTTTTAAAAACGACACAAGCATTAGAGAAAAACGTCCATTGGACGTTCTCAGTTACTTCAACCTGATATTAGGGAAGATAAAGAACCAGTCCATAAACAGAGGAAAAACGTAGATTAAAGTCTTACTACCCTCACAGTCACAGTTCACGGATGTGAAAAACCAAACCAAATATAATTTTTCCAGAATTCATCACCTCATATCAGTCGTAGTCCAACCGCTGCGGCAAACTTTCGTATTATCCTTGCAAACTGGACCTTTCGGCTTTCTGGGAGGCGCGCACTTGTCCCTCTTCTTCTCCAAGCATTTCTTGTCGACTTCCACGCATTCGTCCTGCTCGTACTCCCAACAGCCCCAATCGGCTCGCGGAAAAGCGTTGCAAGGATCCGGAACCTCGCATTCGGGCACCTCTTCGTCGCAAACCAAACGTTTGAGGTTCCAATCCACCATTGGACGATCCTATGGAATAACAATAATTTTTGTAGAATTTGAATAATCATAAACAAAATTCTTGCCTCGCAAGGACAATCTCCTGGAACGAACTTGGGTAGTTTTTTCTTTTTCGTAGCCCAAGTGTCGTCGGCACGTTCCTTGTCGGCGCAAGGATGTGTTTTTTTGCAAACTCGTACAGGTTCCGGCACAGACAAGTCTAACCTTCTAATGGGAGGTGCTATGGTGGGTCCAGGAGTTTCCACACAAGGACACACAGGACCTTCGATCACGGGTAATTTTTTCGGGGGGGTTTTCAAATTGTCGTCGGCTCTCGGCGGGCACCTGTCCGGCTTCGGACATACTCTTACAGGCCTGCAAACCTACAATAATTGGAGTTAGAGTGTGTGGTTTTTAATGAGGAGTTTACCTCTTCCGGTTCGCATCTGGGTAATCGCTTTAGTTTAACGTCGGTCAGCGGGGGTGGTTGTACGCAGGCACATTCCTGAGGCTTGTAATGTTTCAGTTTTTTAAACCTGTTGAATTCAGACTTTTAACTGGAAAGATGGTGTGTATTTAGTTTACATAGGCTCAATAGCAACGATATTCTACAACTGATACAGAATCATCATAAAATTTCGTTTATAAGCCAAGAGTTGAATATGGCGGAAGAAGACGTGGAAAATCTTTTGTCCTACTACATCTAGGACGAACAAATTGCTGGCAATATCTACCAGATGAACATGACAGTATGGAAATTCACGAGATTATAAAAACGTGGGTCGTTATGTTATACCTATTTCTCTTGAGTTGAGTAAGTTTGAACAAATATCTGCAGGAACTTACAAGCATTATTCGAGTATATAACTTTAAAGTTTGGAATATATTTCATCTTCATTAGAGTTCATTCACAAGTTAATATAGTTTTCCCTTTGATTTTAAACTTATAGCATTCACAGTTTATTGGATCTTGATCCAGCAGATTATTTGGCAACTGGGAAGTTGTTGAGATCACTGCCTGGGTCCCTATTATTGAAACATGGGAGCAGTGTTCCCAGGAGAACGAGTGTTTCGTCTTTATTCCTTATATTATCATTTGCATATGATTGAGAAAGACAGAACACTCGTTCTCCTGGGAACGGAACGCTGCTCCCCTGTTTCAAGAATAAGGACCCTGGACAGGATATTAGCCTGAAGAATCCAGAATCTGCGACTATGCTAAGCCAGTACGTGATCTTATGTTGGCCACAAGATATTCGCTGGTCTTAGTGCCTTGGGGCTTTTGAGTGGAGGGGCTGCAAGAGTTGCTAAAGCAGTTTATGATGCTAAGTCAGCCAATCAACAACAATCCATTGACATGGGTAAATTTAGCCAATAAAACGATTAAAGCTAGCTGCAAAGAGATGGAAAACTTTTGGAGGAAACATCAAACAAATAGATAATCGAAGTAGGATCTTGTATAAACCTAGTAACTCAATTTTGGCTTTTCTTCGATAATAATCGACTAAAATAAAAATTGGCTTTACTTTTGAGGATTGGAATCGTCAGCTCGGGGCATCGTACACTTAGGCTTGCGACAAGGAGGCCGAGGAGGATCCTCGAATTTCAAGTTCAACTTTTCCAACCTGGGCGCGTAGGTGGGCTGCGGCGGATCGATGCATTCGCAAGGCCCCACTTGCAATTTGGGCAACGGCTTGTATTTGGGCTCGATGCAATCGTCGGCCCGCGGAGTGTCGCAAACGGTGATTTTCTTGCAATGCCTGTATTCTGGACGAGCACTGCAGGTTGGTGGTACTGGCAGTTTCACTTTCGAAGGTAAAAAGATTCTTTTATTGGCGTAAGTGACGTCGGGGTGTTCGCACTTTTTGGGCTCGTAAGGGAAGTGTTTCTTTTCGGCTTCGTCGATTAGGCGTACGGTTTCGGTACACACATCTTCGCATTCGGGTTTGTGTTTGGTTTTTTTGTTGCCGCTTTTGGAGGAAAGGGTGCTCTTGGACCTTGTGGTCATCGATCGTTTGATTGGAAGGTTTTTGAATGCGTCCAGCATTTTGTTGCCTTCGTTTTTCAATATGCATCCAGAATTTTTATTATCGGTCTCCACGATTTTAGTACTGAGGAGCTTGTTTCGCATTTTAAGCTTGATTAAGTCTGAATAGGACAATTTATAGTTGATAGAGCCTCGGCGGTTCTCATCATCGGCTCTTTGGCGTCTCATTTCGGGCGTGGAACCTTCTAGAAATTCGACGGTTTCATCTTCCATGACATTGCTGAACGACGTTGGTAGTTTTGGCGGCAAGAATTCCAATTTTTTTTCCTGAGCGACGTGGTACCAATAGTCGTTGTACAAATTTTGCTGGCCAAATGATGGCCTTTTTGGGATTTTGGAATACTTTATTTGTTTTTTAGGGTTTTCTTCATTCGCAAAACAACTAGCGGTACAGAAGCTTCTTGTTCCAGGCAATGAAGATTTAGAATCTGCCTTTTGTACTACGTTATCAGTATCATCTTGGGGAATGGGTTTTTTTAACTTCCTGGGACATTTCAAGGAATTCGTCGATCTTAAAAGTACAGGCGAATAATAGTTGTCCCAAGACCCGAACGGTCTCATTTTGCTCGGTTGTAGGTGACAGTGATGTTGCTCGCTGTCCAATTTCGAGGCGAAAGCTTCCATCAGGTCGTGGTTCTTCATCGGGCGCGGTCTGGCGGCTTCCAGCTCGTATTGTTCCAACGTTTCTATTGGGACGTTTTCTGGACGGTTCGAAGGCGGAGGTTCCACCATTTCCGATTCTTTCGGCGGGTTCTCACGCCAATGGAGCTCGCCGTCTTCGTTCTGAGGTTCAGTTTTGTTGTTGGCTGTAAAGAATATACTTAATTTTTTTTTGTTTACTTAGAAGCTGTAATCAGGTGAATACTAGAAATTCAAAAACATTAAAAACTGTAGAGAAGTATGTATGGTGTTTTATTTGAAAAACTAAGTTGACATGGTCCAAGTAGAAAGGAGATTAGATTCTCTAGAAGCTTGTGCAAAGTTGGTTTTTGTAACTTGTAAAGTTTCCAAGATATTGAGGTTCAAAGTTGAAACTAAGTCGACATTTTGTCCAAAACTTCAAACTCAATTTTCTCAAAAACTATAAATGTTAGCGATTCCAGATAAATACCACCTTGAAGCTCTTATCAAGAGCTACAATTCCCGGAAATTTTATCCCAGTACTACTTTTGGTTACCGAGATATCGCAATTTTAGGATTTGTAAATTGAAATCCAAAGGGGGTACCCGTATGAAAAAAGCGTAAAAAATTGAAAATTTTTATTTTTAGATTTTTCGCAATTTTGACTTTTTAAATCGATAGAACGGGTCCGAATTAGTCAGAAAAAACTCTAACATCAATCCTATTTGAAAATTTCAATGAACAAAAAAATCCAAAAAAGACATCTCATTTTTGGCTCTGGAAATTTTTTGAAATCTTGACATGCTCATGAGTAATTGCTGATTTCTTTGATGATATTTGAGCAAATTGCCTATAATTATACATCATTGGAAAGAGTATTAAATTCTCTATAAGATGTGCAAATTTGGTTTTTGTAACTTTTAAATTTTCCAAGATATTGAGGTTCAAAGTTAAAATTTAGTAGACATTTTGTTCAAAACTTCAAACGCAATTTTCTCAAAAACTCTAAATCCTAGCGATTTTGGATGAATACCATCTTGAAGCCCTTTTCAAGAGCTACAATTCCTGGAAATTTTATCCCAGTACCGCTTTTGGTTACCGAGATATCGCAATTTGAAGATTTGTAAATTAAAATCCAAAGGGGGTACCCTTATGAAAAAAGCGCAAAAAATTTAAAATTTTTATTTTTGGATTTTTCCCAATTTTGACTTTTCAAATCGATAGAACGGGTCTAAATTAGTCAGAAACTACTCTAACATCGATCAAATTTGAAAATTTCAATGAACAAATAAATCCAAAAATGAAATCTCATTTTTGGCTCTGGAAATTTTTTGAAATCTTGACATGCTCAATAATAATTACTCATTTCTTTGATGACATTTGAGCTAGTTACCTATAATTATACATCATTGGAAAGAGGATTAAATTTTCTATAAGCTTGTACAAAGTTGGTTTTTGTAGCTTGTAAAGTTTCCAAGATATCGAGCTTCAAAGTTGAAATTTAGTAGATATTTTGTCCAAGTTCTCATCCAAGTAAACTTGAGAACCGTATCAACGTGGCTTTAATAGTAACAAAGTTTCTATGGTTATGAAACTCCTTATTTAAAACCTCAAAGCAAAGACTTGAGTCTTTGAGAATTATAATTATGTACTCCAAATACTCATTTTTCCAGATTTTTCCTGACTGCTGATTTAAATCTGATTTCTAATCCAACTGTAGACACTTATAATTCTAACTAGATATTATTATCGTAAAAAAAAAATCCTATTACCATAATAATCCTTACTAAAACACAGCTTCCTAGCATGACCATTTTCCTGTATTTCAGCCAAAGAACAACCTTTGACGGTTCGCGAAACAGATCTTGACGTTCGCGAACACGATATGGATCTGCTGAATGGAATTTTGCTTTTTTCCAGTCTGCTTTTCCAAGTTTTCCTGTGCACCGCCGGCGACAGAGAGCGGCAATTTCTGTGGGTCGGCTTTGCCGAACTAACAGCGTAATCCTGGACAAAAACAATTATTTTTGAGGCAATAAATTAAGCTGGTTTTGTACTTACACTGGTAGAGGACAATTTGGGCAATTTCTGGATTAAACTGCGAAGCATCTCGACGAAAATTTTGACTCTTTTCTGGATGAAGGTTTACATGACGTTTTGCCTTGATTTTTTTTGGCGTTAGCTGGTTTTTTTTTGGAATTTGCCAAGGAAACGACTGGTGGAAATAGGTGAAACATTTACCTCTACAAAATCTGGGTAGTTGTTCTAGGTTGTTCCAAATTCATTTAAGGAAGTTAGTCCAGCAGGCAAATACTTTCTGCTGGAAAGTATTCTGAAGTTGGTATTTTGGTATGTCATTTGTGGGTAGTCTGTGGAGTAAAATCTGAGTTATCGACCTCGAGGCCCTGCGCTAGCTTGCGGAAAGTCGAAAAACCACGAAATTTTGGACTTTCTCAGTTTTTGGCTTATATTTTTTAAACCATGCGTTTTAGCGGAATACACCCAGTTATATAAACTTGAAGAACATGAAATTTCCTTCAAATTTCAATAGTCAAACGTATTATTTAACGCAATATTAACCGAGATACAGTGGTTCAAAGATACAGAAAAATTCTCAACCTTTTTTGGCCAACCACAATTCAAACCAAGTATGAGATAAACATATTTCATCCTCATTTCTTCCACAGACGATATATGTCTACTTTGCACCTGAATTATTTGCCACGTTAACCGCAACTAAATCCTCGAATTTATCGGACTTTTCCAGTTTTTTGCTTATAACTTCTCAACAAAGTTGAAGCACTTTAAATTTCCTTTAAATTTCGCTGGCCAAAAGTATTCGATCCAATAGTTACTGAGATATAGTGGTTCAAAAAGTAACTTCTCAGATTATCAAAAATAGCATAGAAATGCAGATTTTTGCCCTATAACTTCGGAAAACACAACCTTTGACTATGAGTGCATCAACAGAGATCGTCGATATCGTTCTACTGCTTTGGTGCCTTGAAACCTAACTTATGCCAACAGGATACCCATCAAAAACCATCATTCATCCAGTAGTTTCTTTGGACATAATCCACGTAATTCTGGCACACCAATTCAAATGTCGTATCTCTTGATGTGTTCCACACAACCTTATGTAGCAGGTACCCACCATCAATAACTGCGCATTTGCTGCTGCCGAAATCTACTGGTTCTTGTATAGGAGTGAATGCCGCATACAATTACAACATTGATTTTGTGCCCTTGTGCATACCTCTTTCTGTGAAGAAAAACGCATGGTTTAGTTTAGACATCGGGGAGGGGGCTAGCTAGTATTTCAACAAGTTTCTAATTGTTTTATTATGCGAGTCCGTTGAAAGAGAGTGAGAGGGTCTATTGTGAACTTTTTGTCTTCAATTTTTACACAACTAGAGAAACAACCTTATCTTTCCGTTTCAATTTCATGTCTTGAAAATTACCTTTTTCCAAAGGTCTCCATACAGGTGATACCAATAGTTCGAGATAAGTGGCAGTTCTCAACTTCGATTTCCGGAAATCGACAAAAGCCATCCATAGGTTTATATTATATTCTGTAGCTTTCTCGATCATCTGCCTTACTGTGTGTAGATGTTCTGTCGTGCTATAATGGCTTCGCTTCGGAATCCAGCCTGTTCTTTTGGTTGGTAAACTTCGAGTTTTCGCTATAATCTGTTAGTGACTATTCTGGTGAATAATTTATATATTGTGATATAGGTTTTTTACGTTATATTTAGGATGACGTCATGGAACCAGCAGAGACAAGGTTGTCAATGCCGCTTTTTTTTCTTGAAATTAAAGAAAATGTCATGTTTAAATTCTGTCGAACAAACGGAAAATGGAAGTGCTGTCACTGCTGTCAGCAGATATTTGTTTGTACACTGAGAAAAGAAATCCTCTGAACCAAGAGATTGACATTCAGCCAAAAGATTTTCGGATTTGAATAGGTCAAATGCGAAGTCTCTTGAACCAAATCCCTAATTCTCTTGAAAAAAATCGCGAAGTTTTTCTTATGGAAATAGCCCTTTCTCTTGGTTCAATAGCATTGAATATCTTGTGCCAAGAGCTTTCGGACTTGGCTCAAATGAAATGGTTGTTGTTTCAAGAGGGTAATTTACTAATTTTTGGCCTGTAGTTTAACCATCCTCAGCCATTTTTTCAATATTCAGATAAGATACCATGAAATGAAAAATATAAGATAAAAATGATATTGAAAAACGAATCTATTAGACTATTACATAAATAGAAAAGTATTAAATAGGGTAGAACCAATACAAGAATGGTACCATGGTTTCATTTCGACCCGTACGAAAGCCGCTATCACGATAGCATACCAAATTGTCTGAGTTCTGAGTGGCCAAGAGCGAAAGACTGGAAATCTGAACGTTTTCTCTGGCGCTAAAAGACAGATCGTGCATCCGCTACCGTTCTTGTGAGAAGATCTTCCAAATGACGCGGTATTTTCCCAATAGCGTCAAGGATTTTGAATCAAAAGCTTTGGATATAAATTCAAAACTTTTATCTCTTGAATGAAATGCTTAATTTCCGCAATTTTGAAACAAGAGCTTTCGATTTTGTCTGCTGTGAAATACATCCAAGAATCGTTTTTACTTTAAGAGAGCCATTGAGAGCCACTCTTGTCCCAATATAAATGATCTTAATTCAAATAACATTCCCTCGAAGCAACATATTTTCTCTTCTCTACAGTAGATTGTAGATTTCTAGATTTGTAGATGTACGCGATGTAGTAACTGATTCAGCCGCTCAGCACTGCTACCCTTGCAGATATTTTGTACGTGACTCTACATCTTAAGTTGTCTTCAGGAAGCGTAGACTTCTGCCGAACGAAGCTATTTTCCTGGGTGTCAGCTGGCCCACTTCTTCTGATGACAGTGTTTCCCCCTCGAGGAATTTGAGACTCTTGCAGAAATGGGCTGGACATTCGTGCTGTGCGGTCTCTATTGCGTCTGAGCAGAATCTGCAGAGATTGTCTTCTGCTCTGTCCATTAACCTTAAATGGTATTTTACCAGGCAGTGTCCTGTGAGCAGTCCTACCACCAATCTGATGTCTAGTCTGCTTATGTTTAGGAGCTGTTCAGCTCTTTTTGCTGAAAGGGTAATAAACCTTTTTGACTGCTTGTCTACAGTAAGTGACGTTAAAAACCAGCTCAAGAGCGTTGGGGACTTTGGGCCAAGACCCTCTGTTTTTTCAGTGTATGTTTTACTGGTCACTGGTCACTATCGCTATCATCAGAACTATCATTGCCATTAAAATCAATAATAAGTGGTGGAATATCTCCTCGATCAAATAAAACCTCTCTGTCCCACCAACGTTGTATTTCTTTTTCTGTATGTTCTACAGTTTTTGCCCATACTTCAGGAGTTGCTTGTTTTAGAGCTTCTTTCCACGTTTCTAGTGATTTTTCTGCTGAACTACCAAATTCTCCTATATGATCCCTATAATAGTTCTTGGTGAAACCCCAAATATGTTCGATAGGGTTGAAAATACAATGGTATGGAGGCAAACGAAGAACGTGATGACCATATTTTTCAGCTAGCTCGTCGGCTTTGTACACTGGCTGTGGTTTATTTCTACAAAAAAAAACAAAATGTTTAATAATTATTTAAACTTCTTTTAAACCTACGTCACCCTACGTTTTAACTAAATTCAATAATTGTTGTTTTAAAAAAGTGCTGTCAAAGTGAATATTATTTTCTTTGAGCCACATTTGAATATCATCTTTCTTGGTTGCTGTTGTAGGGGCCTTATTCACCAAAGTGCTATGGTAACTAGCATTATCCATTATTATAGTTGAAGGTTCTTCCAAATTTATCAGCAGCTGATACTCAAACCACTGTAGAAAATTTTCTTGATTCATTTCCCCATGATAGTCAGCATCTCGAGTTTTTGAAGAAAATATCAATTCTGCACCAGGTATAAATCCTTTAGTGCAACCAGCGTGCAGAATAACATATCTAAAACAATAATTAAAAACAAATTAATTGTCAAAATTTTTGCCATAACAAAAGCTAAGAATATAGGATATAAAATTTAAAACAAAAACATAGGCAGAAATTATCAATATAGCATTTTTCACTTAGGGAAGCAGTTGCGTAGGTAAGTATATTAACAGCATTGTTCGATGGAAAACCCTATATGAAAATTTACCTTTTGCCACCAACTTTACACTCTTGGTACTTGAATCCTGCCAAGAACGAACAATAGTACCATCTTGGAAAATCCATGTTTCATCAAGAAAAACAAACTGTCGCAAACCTCCATTTTTGAGTCGAACATATTCTCTCAAAAAGTTAACTCGTTTTAGAGCAATACTTGGCAATTCCATTAGCCCACGTCGTGGATCATCTTTGCTATATTTGAAGCCAATATTTTTCACAATTTTCCATAATGATGTCAAGCAGCCACAAGCAATATCACGTTCAATTAGTTTATCTCGTAAGGTTTTCAAAGTAATATGTGTCTCTGTAATAATGTTAATAAAGATGTATTTGAACACCAACAAAATATAATTCAATTAGCTCTGTGCCATTTGCGCGAGGGAGAAAAGCGCGATACGAAAAGCGCGAGGGATAAAAGCGCGATGGAACAAAAACGCGACTGGACAAAAGCGCGAGGAACAAAAACGTGACTGAAATACAGCACGACGGTGTCTATAATTATCGGCGCGTTTCTGTTCCGTCACGCCAACCCAAACTAACCGAGTTATTATCGGTAAGTTTGGAAATGTCTGACTAAAATCGCGAACTAACCGGGTTATTTATGAGTAAGTTTGGAAATCTCTGACTGAAATTACAAACTAACCGGGTTTTTATGGGTAAGTTTTATAATGTCTTGAAGTCCATTTGCATTTTTGTCCCTCGCGCTGTTATCCAGCCTTTTTATTTCAGTCGCGTTTTTGCCCATCGTGCTTTTGTCCTATCGCGTTTTTGTCCTTCGCGCAAATGGTTGTCGTTCAAATGACACAGAGCCAATTTAGTCACTCACTATTGTTATACATTTCGTAGATAACATTTCCGATTGCAATTTGATCAAACTCATTAATATTAACAACAGTTTTTGTGCGATTACGTTTTTTTGATGGACTTTTTAGTGGTTCTCCTCTACGGCATTTCGCTGCAATGCTATTGACAGTACAACGGCTTAATTTTATTGC